TGAAGCTGCCATTGCATAAATACAGTTTTGCATGAAGTACCAAATGTTGACTACATTAGGGACAGTAATACTTGCAGTCCTAATCCTGAGTGAAAGCCTTTTTCCCCATTAGGTGCCTCCATAAATAGTGCATGGCACTGGCTATTGACTGCCATAAGCTATGTGTCAAATTGTCAGATGTGCTTCTAAAACACCCCCTACTCCATCCTCAGCATGGAAATATGAGTTTATTTGGGTGTTGTGAGGTTTGGTTATTTGTTTACTTCACCTATTTTCAGATAATTCCACAGATTTTTTTTTTCATCAGCTTTGATCTCACATTCTTTTTTTTTTTGTGAGGATTTTTCTGTTTCTCATGCTGCATATAAGAACTATCTGCATTCCAAGATGTTGTCATGAAGATTTTTCTGTATCAAATTAAACTGCTTCTTACCAATTGATTGTACTTGCAGTTCCTCGAAGTCAGATGTTTTTGTTGTTCAGTTTTGAGTTAAGGATTTTTAAATATCAAAGATGGATACAGGATATTTTTTGAGAGTAAAATTATTCTGTAAATTATCTAGTGTCCACTAGAATACATTTTAAGTAGGCCCTTACAAAATGACTTGTACTTACATAAGATACAGGGGCTACAGCATATTTATTAAGACTCTTCAACTCTGTATGAAACTGGAGCAGTCAGAAGTAATGGTGTCTGCTGAAAGATTCTTTATCATATGAATTTACTTTTAGTCATCTATTATTTATTTCAGCTATTTTATATGCCATTATAATAAATATTATGACAGAGAAAGCTTTTATGCTTCAACTTATTGTACTGCTCTTCACTTCCTTGCAATCCGTCAGGAAAATGTAGCTATGCTTTACCTATATTTAACGTAAATCATCACTTACATTTGAATGAAAAATTCACTATGAAAAAAGGCTTCGTTTTCAATACCAAGACACAAATGCACAATCATGTTTACTGCCAAACTACTCTACCATGCAGTGTTCATTTTTAAACAATTTTTAAGCTGTAAAGTGAATACATTGCATATAGTGAAATAGTTACTTTTCTGGGTGTTTTCACTTTCGTGTTAGTTTCTGGCTCAATAAGCATTTTTCTAGCATGAGTGCAAAGTATAGCCAATTGCACTTAAGCATTTTTAATATTTTTGCTCCAATAGGGAGCAACTTACATACAAAACTGAACAAACTGTTTTTTAGTGTTATGTAGAGTAATGAAACATACCTGAAATATTGATAAAGCATTTTTTAGAACTGGGCATGAAATCATCAAATAGGTGATAAAATTTTTCCTTGCATTTTTCAAAATGTTATTGTGTTGGGTTTAAAAGAGGACTTGTTAGGAACTGGAGAGTGATATGCCTTTGGCTGTTTCTTTGAAGACAGGATTGTTGATGCTTGGACATTGTTAGCCTTGAACTGCTTGTTGGGCTCCATGAAATACAAATATCCCCATCCCAAATGTACCATCTCAAGGTCCTGGCTGACCTTGTTTTCACAAGGTTCAGTAGATAGCAGAAGTTCATCTGCCTCTTGTGTCTATTCTCCTTTTGGTCAGTTTGCAAAGTTGGTCTGAATCTAGTTGTGAAAGTGGTTTGGATGGAGTTGTGTCACTTGTCCTGGGGCTCTGCAGTGGGAGCAACAGGTCATTTTGCACAGGCCTTCAACAGCACACATAGTAATGATCCTGTGATTTAGAAATGAGCTCTTTAAATTATTCTACACTCATTCTATTATCTAGTTTCCCCGTAAAATGATGTAATTGAAAATAAAGCAGTAGAGGGAACATTAATATCTTTTGCCAATTTAATTTTTAAAATTCTGAAGTTTCCTGCCTTAGTGTATTGATTTTATGATGACAGTTTAAAGACTGTCTCCTGTATTTGGGAAAGTGGCAAGTCTCATTTAAGACTTCACAACATAAAATGAGGCACAATTCAGTACTGAAAACATGTGAAGAGAAATGGTGAGAGACATCAGCATAATACAATTATGACACATTAGATCAGGATTTGCAGCATACCATTAACAATCAGTTCTGACTGCGGAGTACAATTACATTTAAGATGCCTTTTAGCAAAATGTTTGTTTAGTTTTATATTTTATTAAACCCCCACATTTTATTTTTCTATAAATATCACAAGATGTGCCACCTAGGTTTCTAGGGAGAGCAGGAAAACATTATAACAAAGGCAATACTGAGCTACTGTAAGAAAACAAAAAGCCTCCTACTTGTCGTTGATTGGAGATATTCTTACATTATTAACATCCCTTGCACATATAGTACCTTATTCAGAGTTTTTTCTTATAAAGAAGTTGTGACATAGAAGTAAGAGTGGGAAAATTTGGCATGAAAATTCATTGATTCTAAAGGTTTAGCATTTCACATTCTCAAACCGTAATAGGAATTGATGGTCTACGGATTACCTCTGAGGGGTGAGAGGTGCTGGAATCTCAATTAATGAGGGAGAACCTGAAACAAAAAAGTTGGGGAACTTGCCTAAATTCATGATATGTAAACTTATTTCTTCCCCATTTTCTTTTCAACTTGAAGTACAGACATCTCTCTTCTGTGTTTGAAATCAGTAGCAGAAGCCTAATATGTGACACCAAGACGAAAAGCATTACCTGAGTCATATCGTGTGGACTTGAGTCCGTGTCCCCAGGAGGACAGTAGCTAACAGCTTGTGGTGTAGTACCATAGTGCTGTTGAAGTACTTGATTATTATGTCTTTTGACCCCCTTATGTCCCTGTATTTGTAGCATTCTTGTCCTTTTACCCTTGGGAGAGACAGGAGAATGTTTCAACTGAGGAAAGAAGAAACAAAATAAACCAAACTATGCACACCACTTCTCTAGTAAGAAAACAGCTTTGAACTGCACGTTTGAGGAGAAATTGTTCTGGAGTTCTGTTGTATAATTCAAGGCAGCATCGTCTTTCTCAAGTCTCTGACCATCAAACAGAAGAAAATATTTACCCAGTGGGGCAAAATGAATTCCAGAGTGACGTGCATCTTGTGAGGGTAAAAAACCCTCTTTGTAGCAAAGTTTGGTTTAGCATTTTCAAACTCCATCAATTGATACTTCCTATGGAGACTGAACCTGTTGAAATTTTAGTTGTATTTATTTTGCTGTCCTGATAGGTCTGGCTGGAGTGGGACAAAAGGAATTTGAGTGATATTCTGTTTAAACCCAACCTGTAAGGTACTTGTAGCGGGCAGAGTGGGTACAAGAGAAATAGAAAACAGATGTAGGGAGCAAAGTGACAGATGTAATGAAACGGGGATCAGATGAATTGCTTGAGCTTGGGAGACAATGGGATCTCTCTTCCTGGCTTCCTTCTGTGCTGACATGTGTGCTGCTTCCTTTCCATTCTTCCAGCAGTGCTCAGTGTATAACCTTGTAATCCCAGTAGATCCTCTGTTACAGCATGGTGCTAACAAAGCTCCTATCGTCTCTTCACCCAAATGCTGCTTTTTATCACACAGTTCTGCTCCGTCTGCTCCATATTCTTCTACTCTTACTTTTAGCAGTGCTAATGTCCTGTCTAAATCATGACTGTTATATGTAGGTAGCATGTTGGGATTACATGAAGTGTCTCTCTAAATTCATTTTTGCCAAATAAGCTAAGCAGAGGGGGGTGAAATTAGACATTTTGAAGTTTGAGGAAGAGTACAGGGCTTTTGCCAGCTTACTTTTATGTGCCAGAGAGTTTATGTGGTGTTGGGCAGCAGCGAGTCTAAAACTGAGGGTAAGCACAAATACACATGTTCTTAATTCCTTAGTGGATAGACCTGATTTATATGTCATGATGGTTGGTATTTTGCAGAGGATCATAGATGTTTTGAAGTGTAGTGTTTGTGGAAGAACAAAATACAACCACTGGATGTTGTAGTGCAGACACAGCTGCAGTCAAAGGAAAGCTAGTTCAGAATTCAGTCTTGAGAGTACAAGTGACTGCTTGGTTCTGTTATGACTTTCACTTTAGTGGTTGCATTGAAAATAGACTGGTTCTGTTATGACTTTCACTTTAGTGATTGCATTGAAAATAGACTTTTGATTCATTTTATTCTGGGATTTGGAGTGTGTTTAAAAAGACTGAGGACCATGAATCTTAAAGCTGAAAGTATTGAGAAGAGTTGATGGTGTCTAATGTTAGCACCTTTGGGTTAACCTGTCATTTTGTGGGATTGTGTGTTGTCTTCTAAGTGAAAAATTGGCTTTAAGTAAATGCAGAATTTCTTTCAAAGACACAGAGTCACAGAATCAAATTGGAAGACACTTTAAAGGTCATCTTATTCCAACCCCCCTGCTATGAACAGGGGCACTTTGTGCTAGCCCAGGTTGCTCCAACGCCCCATCCAACCTGGCCTTGAACACTTCCAGGGATAGGGAGTCCACATTCTCTGGGAATGCTGTCCCAGCACCTCACCACCTTTATAGTAAAGCACAAATATATTGTGCACTGGTAAACTCTTACTGTATGGAGAACTGTCTAGGCTGATAAGTTGTTTTCTGTAGTCATTTTATACTATCTTTTATATAATATATAGATTGTTTTGGATTCATATGTGCAAGTCTGAATTTAGCAGGTTTTTATAGTGTTTACTGAGTTTTTTCCCATTGTTATGGTATATAAAAATAGCATGCATTGAGAATAACAATTATTCTGCTTTTTATTTCTTGAGTTACATAAGTTTCACCATCAAAATGGAAGCAAATGGGTACCTTATTAACACTGCCTTGTGTGGATTCATTGCATTATATAAAGTTGTGTATGTTTTTAGCAGAACCACCAAATCGCAATGCTACTTTTGGCACTAAATGTTGTGCTCATCCATTCCTTTTGATGATTTATATTCACTTTGGGGTTATAATGTTAAACAAGGAAATAAGACAAGTTTCATAACACATTTGCTGTAACATGATACTATGAACCAAACTTGCTGTTATTTATCTCTTGTTAAAAAAAATATTTTCTCTTTTTCCAGCATAAAGCCAAGGTAGAAGCAATGACCTTAGACCTTGCTTCTCTTCAGAGTGTGCAGGACTTTGCTGAAGCATTCAAATCCAAGAATCTGTAAGTACTCCAAAAATTATATGTAATAATTTCTTGTTATTTTAATGTCTTTATCATCTGAGCACAGTTGGCAGAATTCACCATAGCTGGATGGATCAGCAACTGCAGTTTGTGAATAATCTTTTCACAAGATTTTTTTTTTTTTTAAATGTAAATTAAAGATCATTTGTTTTCATGCTAAAAAAGAGTAAAATTACAGATGTTTTGCTATTCCATGTGTAGCTTCAACTTTAAAGGTGTTTTTTTTACCTCTATGACTATTGAAAAAGGCCAAAGCTGAACTGCATAAAAAAGAGCTCAGGCAACTTTTCACAGTTTTGCAGTGGTTTGGAAGAGGTCAGGGATGAGCAATTAGTGCACTCCTTGTCTTCCTTTCTTTCCTAACCTTCTCTCTCTCTCTTTTCATTTTTGAAGCTTTAAAAAATATAGCTCTGTGAGCCAGACAGCTCCATTTCCCAGACCTGTGTCTGGAATAGTCCATAATAAAAATAAAAAAGAAAAAAAGAAAAAGGGGGAGAAGAGGCGATAATGACGTCACTTAACAATAGACAAATTTTATATGGAGAAAATCAGGTTAGCTTCCAAGTGGTTTGTTTAATTTAGCTCGAACAAAGCAATGAATCTCTAAATTGAAGAAATTATTTGAAAACTTGTAAGTGCCAACTCTTGACAATAGATTTCACACTTCCTGCTTTTATCCACAGTTTGACCCATTGATTGTTGCGAGTATTCAAACTTAGGTTTTTTTCTGGGAATATTTCTGTAACAGATATGCATCTTTTTGTTCTTCTCGAGAGAATATGGCCTCTTAGACAGCTTTGAAAATACTTTTCATAGTGAAAATATATAACAAAGAATGTTTCTTCACTTTTGAAATACTGCCAAAGCTAAATCTCACATGGATAGACAGGTGACATTTTAGTACTTATAGGTCTTTTAGATTCAAAGAATTGTCAAAACTGACTTCTAACATAAGTTCCTTTACTGCCAAAATACTTAGTATCAATATTTTCTTATTGTATCATCCTCATATATTAAAATTTCTTGAAAGACAAATCCTTGCAGTATTGCTGCTTTAATACTAACTCGATTTTGTAATGTAAGAGCAGTAAGTGTTTTAATTTAGCATCTTCATGCTTTTAATTTGCTACATTTCTCTAAAAACTATATGGTGCAGTGGAAGCTCAAAACCACCCTTCTTCCAAATGAAGCTCTTGACTTGTGTGTTGTAGGTCCTATCATGGCCATCCTAGCTAGTCCTTTTGGTATGTATGTTTATAAATCCTTGCAAGTGAACATGCTTAAATCAATTTTTGCCAGAGAACTTTGAAAATTAGAAGATCTAGAATCAGTAAAACCTGTTTTATTTTTGTTGGCATGCACTGTTTTACCAGCTTAGATCTGTTAAGCGACATTGTCAGTGATGGACAGGTTTTACTAATGCTTTGCTCTCCTTTTGTTTGGAAAAGTTTTTGTAATAGACAGCATCTAAAGCCTCTGCTTTGTCTTCAGATATTTCTGTCTAAAATCTGTGCTTACATGTGCCTGTGTCTGGCAGGACTACTCCAAGCATTATAGAAAAGTCTAAGGTCTGTATTTGTTGTGAGGTTTTGACCAAAATGAATTTCCAGTTATATTTTGTTTGAAGTCTGAGGCTGGATGGAAACCAGACCCCACACACTGCCTATAGCAGTGAATCTTTTATCTGATACAGATACACAAGAGTTACCTTACAATCATCTGCACTGGCAGGAGAATGTACTGGAAGACCTACTAGGTCTTTCTGGTCTCTGATTTTTTGTGATTTAACTATGTCTGTATAAGGTCAGAAAAGCAATTATATGGCAGTAGCATCTTATTACTACAATGCTGGGCCTATGTGTTTTCCAGCACTAATGTACACTAACGACTTTTGTCTCTTCGTTTATTTCTTTTGCTGCAGTGTCCAGAGGCTTTTGTCACATTGGTGATTCCTTTGTACTAGTGGCTTTATGAGCAACTGAAAGGAATCTTACAGGCTTCAGTGACAGACTGAGCCTTATTCTTTATGCTTTGGCAAGTCTTGTCAGTTGGCAGCCTAACTCTCTTATGAGGGGTCAATATCCCTGATTTCATGCACCTGTAGCAGCTTTATTTTGATAGAGTTTCCCCCATTCCCATGAGGTAGCTGTCACTCCTGTTAATGAGTGTAGAAAATACATTATAAGCATAGAGTTTTCTCTCTTACAAAATCTCCTACAAATTACTTAACAATAAAATAGTAAGAAAAACAAATAAAGTGTTTGGGGTCTTTTTTCAGAACAAAAAATATCATTTGAGTTCTGAGTTGTATGGACCTTGGCTTCTGGGAAAAACTACAATAATTGTAAAATGTGAAGGAGAAATTTTGTGTTTGATTTCTCACAGCACTTTATGTGAAAAGGCTTTTAGCATTCACTTGTGAACATCTTAAACTTCCATGTGAAAATAGCTTTATTTTCTGGGGTTAATTTTTCTGGTCCACTATAGGTTTCTGGGACACTTTGGTATTTTGCAGAATCTGTTGGTCTTAGTGACACCTGATCTAATAACTGAAAGTTTATAAAATTGAGAATAGATAAGCATGCCTTTTGAAATTCTGCTTTTTTGGGATACTTTGTGGCTTTAGTTGCTATGTTTGTCAGCAGATATAAGGTGTGTTCATAGTCACATCACATCCTGGGAGCCTGTTCTTCTCTGGTTGAAAAGAGTCTTCAAGGACTGTGTTTCACAGATCTCTTCTTGGATGAAAAAACTAAAATGGAACTACTCCAGGAAATGATCTCTAAATTTCATTGAGTTAAAACATCAAAACCTCTTGCAGCTGTGGAAGGTGGTGGTGGTGGGATTGAAGGGAGCAGAGGGGAAATCGCTGAGATTGTGAATCTCCCACCTTAATCAAATAACTTGCAGAGGAAAAAAATGCCTTCTTGAATGTGCTTGGGAATCTGAGAGATCGTGGAAACCACGTGAAGAATGAAGTCATCCTCT